TTTAAAGTAGAGACACTACATACTGATATACACCTGAACATCAGCAGGAGAGGACTCTTTAAAGTAGAGACACTACATACTGATATACACCTGAACATCAGCAGGAGAGGACTCTTTAAAGTAGAGACATTACATACTGATATACACCTGAACATCAGCAGGAGAGGACTCTTTAAAGTAGAGACACTACATACTGATATACACCTGAACATCAGCAGGAGAGGACTCTTTAAAGTAGAGACACTACATACTGATATACACCTGAACATCAGCAGGAGAGGACTCTTTAAAGTAGAGACACTACATACTGATATACACCTGAAGCATCAGCAGGAGAGGACTCTTTAAAGTAGAGACACTACATACTGATATACACCTGAACATCAGCAGGAGAGGACTCTTTAAAGTAGAGACACTACATACTGATATACACCTGAACATCAGCAGGAGAGGACTCTTTAAAGTAGAGACACTAGCATACTGATATACACCTGAACATCAGCAGGAGAGGACTCTTTAAAGTAGAGACACTACATACTGATATACACCTGAACATCAGCAGGAGAGGACTCTTTAAAGTAGAGACCACTACATACTGATATACACCTGAACATCAGCAGGAGAGGACTCTTTAAAGTAGAGACACTACATACTGATATACACCTGAACATCAGCAGGAGAGGACTCTTTAAAGTAGAGACACTACATACTGATATACACCTGAACATCAGCAGGAGAGGACTCTTTAAAGTAGAGACACTGCATACTGATATACACCTGAACATCAGCAGGAGAGGACTCTTTAAAGTAGAGACACTACATACTGATATACACCTGAACATCAGCAGGAGAGGACTCTTTAAAACTGTACTTCTTTCTGCAGTGAGTAAAATAAGTGTATTTTAAACATGGTGTCATTTTAAAGAGGTGTGTTTCCTGTTTATACATTATAATAAAACGGAGAGTTAATGTGTCCACAGGGAAGTCCTTCTCTCAGCACATCCTGTCGGGACCCCTGCTGAGGGATTAGCACTCGGGGATAAAAACACTGAAACTTTTTTGCCAAAGATTGCCGCTTCTACAAATTGGTTTTCACTAGTTTCCTAGCAACAGTGACACACAGCAGTTCTGCTCGGCATCTGTTGAACATTAGTTTTTGAAGAGAAGCCCCCTGGACACACACTAATGCTCTCTGGTGCACACTCTGAGAGATATATACATATTCAAGTTGGGAGCATGTCTTTCACAGAGCAAGCAACACTAAAATACATGTATATAATCCATTTCTTTACTAAATGAGTCACATGTTGGGAAATCGCAAGACAGGGAATTCTCTTTCAGTTGGGGCATTTTGGGACGATTAAGTATTTCTTTTCAATATGTATCTCATAATTATATCTGTTCTGTATCACCCTGTGTGCTGTAATGCTTTTATTGTGCTCATATAGGTCATTTAACATTGGAATAAAAGAAGTGTAGTAATGAAAATCATCCTCCTCCTCTACCGTTAATAACACATAGAAAAAATTAAACATTTGGTTTTGACTTTTCTTATTTGTGGAAGTGTTATTAACTGATGAACTTCAGGAAACTAATCTTTTCTAAACGCCACAGAGTCTCATAGAAGCTGACAAAACGTTTCAACAGTTGAAAAAAAAATCTGATGATAGCACTCTCACAACAACTGCCTCACTGAGACGGCAACATGGAGTCTGAGGATGAAGAGCCATCTGTCTGGTTTCTCTAAAAACAACAGTGTGATTGGACCAAATTTCACTGGCTTGTAAAACTCGTTGAACATAACATGTTGACATCTCTATATGTGTTTATATGTTTCTAGTTAGTGTGCCTTTTGTCTTGTGTTATTCTATGTTCTATTGTTTCCCCCTCAACTGAGGTTGTTTTAAATGTGCGATATAAATAAATAAAGATTGATTAAGAATGAACTCTTCTGACTTAATCAGCTAATCAACAGGCGCTCCAGCTCGACGAATTGGACGACAGAGTTTCCTCTCCACCTTCTTAAAATACAACCCTCTCTCCACAGATAGATATAAATGGTGCTTCTTTGAGAAATTGCCCAATCTGTCTCTCTTTGCGTGGAAAATATACAATATATTTTTTATTTTGCAGAGTGGAAATCTCTTTTGAGTCGACTATTTGTGGATTTTAAGTCTCCCCATGCCTCTCTCCCTCGACTAAAGTGAGCAATCACACCTTCACATCCTGCGGGAACACACACACACACACACACACACACACACACACACACACACACACACACACACACACACACACACACACCACACACCACACACACACACACACACACACACACACACACACACACACACACACACACACACACACACACACACACACACACACACACACACACACACCTCACGCTGTGAAAAGCAGCCGGGTGGATCTCAGATAACGGAGCAGGTTGGAGACGCTGCTGTTTCATTGGACGTTATATTCAGAGCGAACACAATGAGATGAAAACGTCTCTGAGCTCAAACTGAAAGATGGTGTTCAGCTGCAGAAATACAACTCTCCTCTTTGGCCTTTG